ATGTTATATTCTATTATTTTATTAAACCCTAATTTATGTTAAGCACTAATATGGGGGCGATACTAAAAACTGAGCTGTCAAGCGATGACTGTGGCCAAGAGGTCAGAATACTGTTAGAGGAATTAGAAATCATTATGTATACGTTAGAGTTGTACGAGGTTGAGAAAGAGGAATGGAGAAGGGAAATTTTTGACAGAGCTTCCAAGGATTTAAAAATTTTTATTATAAGAAATACGAGTAAGGAAGAAGAAATTGTCGAGATTAGAAAAAAATTGATTATGCGAGTTAGAGAATCGGAGGAAAAGAAAAGGAAAGAAAATGAATTTAAGGAATTAACGCAGATGGTGGTACAAACGGTTCAGGAAGCTATGAGAGTTAACAAAGGAGTAGGGAACGAGAGAAGGAGCATTAGATGCTTTTATTGTGATAAAGAAGGTCACGTGGTTAGGAGGTGCTATTTGAGAAGGTCGAAGGAGGGATATAACAATAGTAATAAAGGTAATTTAAATTATTTGAGGGTTGGTTTTGAAAATAGTAGTGACTCTGAGACAGTCCAAGAAAGGGGATATAGACGATCCAAGAAAGGGTCAAGGATTAAAATAGAGTCAAAGGAAAAAGAGTACGAGCCTAAAGAGGGTAACAAACGGAAAAGATTGAATTTGGAGAGATACGTTGAAAAGTTTAGTGGGGTATTTAATAATGGTAAGGAGGAAGTGAAATACTGTAAAATAGAAAAATGTAAAATTATTACGGAGGAAGGAAAAAAAATATATAAGAAGGGACAGATGGTTCCACAATCATTGATAAGAGACACGGAAAAGCATCTAGAGGATTTAATGAATAGAAAAGTTATTAGAGAGTCGAATTCGGAGTGGAGAAATCCAATAAGAGCGTTACGCAAGCCAAATGGTGATATCAGACTTGTAAGTAATTTGATAGCGCTAAACGATATTGTAGAGAAGGATAATTACAAATTAGCAAATATAAGAGACGTTATCAGAGCAACGCAGGGCGCAAATTATATGACCGTTTTTGATTTAAAAGAAGGCTTTTATAGTATTGAGATTGAGGAAAAAGATAAGCATAAAACGGCCTTTGAATTTAACGGCAAGGCATATGAGTGGAATTCCATGGTGATGGGTTATAAGAACAGCCCGCAGATATTACAAAGGATTATGGATAGAGTATTTAGAGATTTAAAAGGGAAAGGTGTAGAAATATATATGGATGATATAGTGGTATATAGTAAAAGTATAGAAGACCATGATAAAATTGTAAACGAGGTGCTTAGAAGATTAAGTGAAAATAATATGAAGTTGAACGTTAATAAGATTCAGTTTTGTCAGCAGGAAGTAAAATTATTAGGTGTGACGTTGAATGGTTGTGAGATAGTGCCGTCAGAGATAAAGAAAAATGAAGCGTTAGAGTTTCCAATACCGACGTGTGTGTCAGAAGTAAGACGATTTTTGGGAATGACGGGATGGTTTCGAGATTTTATTAAGAATTATGCTGGATTAACGATAAACTTGACAGATAGCTTGAAGGGGAAGAATAATAACTGGAAATGGACAAAGGAAATGAATGCAGAATTTGATAACTTAAAGAAGGTACTGAGGGAGTTAGGGAAATTGAAAATAGCTGATTATGATAAGGAATTTTTATTGAGGACGGATGCGAGTGATTTAGGTATGGGTGCAGTTTTGTTACAGAAAAATAGTAAAGAAGAATGGGTACCCGTACAATGGGCTTCGAAAAAGTTCACTCCGACGGAAGTTAGATATGGTATATCAGAGAAGGAGATGTATGCCGTGTTTTGGGGCGTAAAGAAATTTGAATATGAGCTAAGAGGCAGAAAGTTTAAAATTGAAACGGACCATAAAGCATTAGCAGAGATTAGAAAGAAATCGGATTTTAATAATGCCAGAATTAATAGATGGGTTGAAAAGATACAGGAATTTGATTTTGAGATTAGGTATATTCCTGGGGATGAAATGGTTGTTCCGGACGCATTGAGCAGAGTTTATACGAATAAGGAGGATCATAAGCGGAGAGTTATAAAGGAAAGACGAGATAAACAAATTGAAGGTAAAAGGAAAAAGCATGTGAAAATAATTGATGGACAAGAATTTTGGGTATTTGACGATGGGAAAGAGCAAACAATGCCACCGGCCAATGAAAGAGATAAGTTAATAATGGATTGTCATCTTCAGTTAAGCCATAGAGGTAGAACGAGCGTATACTACGAAATAAGGAAGCAATTCTATTGGCCAGGGGTGAAAGACCAGATTGAGAGAGTATTGAAGAACTGCGAAACATGTCAGAAGTTTAATAGGAAAACAAGCGGCGGTACGGATTTTGTGAGTACAACAAGATATTTAGAGAAAGTGGGATTAGATTTGATCGAATTTAGAGAGGAAAAAGCATTTATTGTTGTTGCGATAGATTATTTTACTAGGAGAGCATGGGCAAGAGTTGTAGAAAGTAAGCACGCAACGGCAATAGTAAGCCTTATTAAAGAATTATGTTCCCAAGGGAAAAAGCCGGAAGAGATAATTACAGATAATGGTAAAGAATTTTGTAACGAACAGTTGAGAGAACTTTGTAGTACGATGAATATAGAGCACAGGAAAGTTGGAGTTGAATCTCATAGAAGCAATGGAAGAGTGGAACGCATTATTAGAACGTTGCGTGAAGGAATGTTAAAAAGCAAGGAAGTTGAGTTCAAAGATAAAGTTTACGAGGCTATTGAAACGTATAATTTGAGTTTTCATGTTGGATTAGGATGCACGCCAATAGAGGCAGTGAATGATGACACAGGAAAGGTAATGCTTGAGAATAGTCCGCAGGGTAGGTACGCTAGACGGTTTAGACGTTGGTACAGAGAGAAATTTAAAAAGAACCAGATCGTAAGAGTTGCTAAAAGAGAAAATTTGACTGGGTGTAGTAAATACAGTAAGGGTAGGTTTCTAGGTATGGGTAAAGTGATTGAGTTGTGTCTAGGAGATTCGTACATTGTGAGGTTAGAGAATGGAAGATTTGTTAAAAAGAGACATTACGATCTAAAAGGGATTGGTGTCTTAAATTATGGT